GCCGGGGGGGGGGGGGGGCGTCGTCCAAGGAGGGGCACACCGGCGGCGTGAAAGTGCCCGCAGTCCGGGGGCGCCGGGCAAGCAGCCCTGACCTCGGCTTGCGGGCGAGCACATTCTCGCGTGCAGGGTCCCTCATTGTGTGGGCGCTCCTCTGACTGTGGAACGCCTGGCGGCTGGGGCTCCGCCCGGGGTGGGGGTCGTTGTTTTGGTCTAATTTCGATCAGCCTTTCTCCTTTGTACTTGTCCCCGCCATCGGTGGCCGGAGATCTTGCGACAGCCACCGGCCAGGCGGGACATAGGTAGCCACCCACCGGACCAGCCTCTTGGGCCCGGGTGCGGGGAACACCAGAGCACCCCCCAGTGGGGCGGCGGGCTGGTCGTGTGGGCGGGCGTGTGGGCATTGTCCAGGCCCCGGCGCCACCCCTCTCGCTCGGACTTTTGTGGGCGGGGGGGGGGGGGGGGGGGGTGGGGGGGGGGGGGGGGGGGGGGGGGCGTTCGCTCGGATGGGGGAGCGAGGCCCGGTCGTGGCGCGTCGCTTGTCCGAGGACAATGGTCGATGTGCGTGGTTCTGAGCCGGAGCCCGGGGCGCGGGGGCAGAGACTCGCAAGCAGCTGGAGCGGCTTGGAAAGGGCTTGCTAGATCTGGGCCGTCGGTGCCGGGTGCCCGAGCCTGTCTGGACACTGTGCTGCTCCGGCCGAGTGGCCATTCGGTCGGGGGGCGTTGCGCTAGTCCAGGTGGCCGACCCGGCGCCCCCTCGGATCCCCCGGCGCCCCTCCCCTCCGGGAGGCACTTCGCCTGGCCGTGTGTCGGTCCCGGCCGGTGACCCCCCCCCCCTCTGGCTTGCTCGGCGCCAGGGAGGTACAAAAGGACCAGTCGCCGGCGACTCGGACAGACAGGTCGGCCATCTCTTCGCATTCGCATGTGCCTCCCTTCGCGGCTGGTCTCCTCCTTCCCGACCCCCCCCCCCTTCAGCCCCTTCGCCTGCGTTCTCGCCCGTGCCCTGGCAAACACCAGGCACAGATCTATATACACACACATACACACACACACACACACACACACACACGCGCGCGCGCACACACACACACAGTCGACAGGTTCGACGCATTTCCGCCGTCACAAGACACACCCACGTCGGAAGTCCCCGGCAGGTGTCGACGCGTCCGGCACCACCACGCGCCTCGCCCATGGGCCTCGTACGGCCGGCTTCCGGACCAGGGCACACCAGCGCCTCCTGGGGGGCTGGCGTCCTGTTTGGCGGGATGCTGCGTCTGGGCGCCCTCCTCGGGGCGACCCTCCTTTGGAGCAGCGGCTGGACCTATGTCCGGGCCGCCCCGCCGCATGACGGGTCGGACTTGCTGCTGTACGCGTCGCCGCGGGCCCTTTCATCGGCCGGGGTGGCGTTGGACTTTGCTTCTCCCGCCGACGGGGTGACCGTCGGGCTGGACCTGAGCGACCACAACGAGGTGAACTTGTATCACCAAATGGATCACACTCTGGGCCTGGACACCGCACGGTGGGGCACCTTCTTCGATTGGCTCGGCGATGAGAGTATCTATGGTGCATATGCCAACATGCCTTTCAGCCAATTGATCGTGGCCGTGCTGCAGAATGGCCCCCAGCCGGGGGTCCTCATCAGACACACCGCCACGCAGGTGGCCCTGCTGCATGACTCTCAGGTGCACCAGTTGCCCGGGTCCCGGGCCGATATCCTGGCCATCTCGGGGCAGGATCCGAATTCGGCCCTGCTGTTGGTTGACGTCCTGTCGCCGGCGTCAGAGCGCCGGTTGAGCCTCCTCCACCTGTCCATGGACGATGGGCTCCAAGAGGCCGGGCCGCCCCTGGATGTGACCATGACGGGGGACATCCTCTCGGTCGCCGGGGCTCTGGATACATTTTACGCGGTGGTCGACGAGGCGTTGGTCATCCTGACCAGTGGCAGCCCGACGTCGATGGTCGTCCAGAGCATGTCCCAGCCGGAGGCGGTGGTGGCGATGGCGGCCACGCGCGTGGTCTCCCCGGACGATGGGACTTGCCCGGCGGACTTGATCCTCCTGCTGGACGATGGGGCGATCCATGTTCGGCCCTGCTTCGGGCATGATCTCCCCCTCCTGCCGCGCATCCAGGGCCACTTGCCGGCCGAGGTGGACCACACCCAGCCCGGGCACTTCATCAATCCGCCGGCGGCATCCCTGCGCCAGCCCTTGGCCTTCATCTACTATGTGGGCTTCGCCGTGGGGTCCAACGGCCAGGCCGGCCTGTGGCGGGCGGATGTCAGCCCGACCGACGGTCTCACCTGGCGTGAGATCCGCCTGCCGGCCGTGGCCGATCCCCTGGAGGCTTCGCTCGTCCATTTGAAGATGACCCAGGCCGGGCCGCGGTGGATGCTCCAGGCCGCGGGGACCCTCCTGCTGGAGGCCCAGGAGTTGGGTTGCTCGCGGGATTCATCCATCATTTGCGATGGCCAGACTCCCGGTGGCCAGCCGCGGGCCCTGGGCTGGGAGTGTGTCCCCGGGCGAGCGGTGTCCGGGGGCGACTTCGCCAATCACCTTTGCTCCGGCTGTGCGGATGGGTATTTCCTCGACTGGGAGTCCGGTATGCCGGCCGGCCGAGCCGCCCGCATGATGCTCTTTTTTTTTTCCGTCCGCACCTTGCGACACTGAACTGACCTTTTCATTGGCCCCCGCCCGCTCCCTTTCTGACCTTCCCCCCCCCCCCCCCCACTCCCTCCCCCGCGCGCAGCATCTTCAACCGCGAGGAGTACCTCG